CAGTGCAATGCCTCTGGGTTCAGGTGGCCCCACATCTTCCAAGGTGCTCACGTGATTTGATGCATTTCGCGATGTAAGACCCGTCTTATCACAATATAGATCTTGATTAGCGATAATATCGTCTTGACTGGGCGCCGCCATTTTGTTTGAAACAAATGCAAGTGATACGACAGGTGGAACCTGATTGGCCCATAGGAGAGTCTTAGAAGGGACATAACTCGTAATAACCACTGGTTGCTCTACGATCGGGCCCAGGAATTCCAGCCTAATTCGGCAAGGGTGGAAACTGGACTCTTAAAGTAAGTCAACTCCCTTGCCTCGGGAAGATGGTGGCTCCAGTGGGAAGAACCTGGGTCTGGAGGAGACCTAGCTTTTGTCTGACATAGATTCTGTAGGATCTTAGCCTGATGACGTGTACACCGTGTGGGCCGCCATGCTTCGTACTTGTGATGACTGGGCCAATGGCCTATAGCCCTCCCACTCACAATGTGCTGTGTCTGTCCTCATTAATGTGTCTGTCCTCTCTGATGTGTCTGTCCTCTCTGATGTGTCTGTCCTCTCTGATGTGTCTGTCCTGACTTCTGTCTGTTGGTGGTGCTATCAAGACAACGTTAACTGGGTACCTGATTGTGGAACCTTTGAGTGCAGTCACTGTAGGGTGCCTTCACAATTGTCCGCTTCGGCATGTTAACACAAGGTATTCCCCATTTCAGGCCAGCCAGTTTGTTTCTTCTTTAAGAATGAGCATTCTCTTATATTAGAGAAAGTTAAATACCGTATACGACGTAATAAGCGCCCGGGCGCTCTCAAAATTAGAAATAGGGGGCTCTTATTAAAATATAATTTTGTTGAGAAAAAAAACAGAGTTGAAAGATCGTAAATTTTATGGTTTATGCTAACAGCCTGACATGAAACAAAAGAAAAGTCTGTGCGTATCAGACACGACATACATTTTCCAAAAATTAATTGCCCATAATTAAGGGTGCATGTAACACAAGAGTGTGCATAATACACAAATAAATATGTCTTGTGTACATTGATCAATCGGAAGGGGTGCTAATTGGGATTGTTCACTTCTAATATATCAGCAAAATCGCCGTGGGCGCTTATTAGAGCGGGGCGCTTATTACGTCGAATACGGTAACACATCTTTACAAGATTAATTGGAACATCATTTTGTTTGTTCATTTGCTTCAATATGTTCGAGATCTCAATTTAGACTACAAAAAGCTTGTTGTCTTCAGAAATATGATCCGCCTGCCTTTTCCAAAGTACAAAAATAACATGGAGACAATATATTAAAATAGGATAGCCTAAGCTATGGCGAAATGGTTCAAAATGACTTATTTCTTCATGGTGATTCTTAATGCATTTATTTATGGTAAGTAAACCAGGAAAACTGGTCAGATTATGGTAGACGCCAATATTTCCCTTTTGCCATAGGAACGTATAGTTAAACCCCTTTAATCTGGACGTGTGCAATCCCACTGAAATTACCAAATACAATGTACCTGGGTTAATGCATTGAGTGAACAGAACACAAAAATCAGTCAATTTGTAAAATGTCTGAAATTTAAAAAAAGAAATGGAAATTGCCAGAATCCCTAAGACAATTTAGAAAATGACTGAAATATTTAGGCATTATGTAAATACTTGTAAGTGTTCGGAAGGTGGGTGTCCAGTTTAACAGGGTCCTGTCTAATCAGGTTTCACTGTACTTGATTTCCCTGTGAATGATGTCTCATTGTTTGCTGGTAATGTGTTCAACTAGTCCCATAAGTCTGTCAAATATTGATTGCAACGATTAATCCTTACACATGATTGTCACCTATATTTGTATCAACTATATTAGTTTGTTATATTCCTGTATTTTATGCATATATATTTGTATGAATATTATGTATTATGAATATATGTACATAGATGATGTTGATCATAATCTTTGAATAGGGTTTTCTCTATATTATGTACACACATTTTAAACATATGGCTGAATAAACAAATTAATGACTAAACGTTGTTTGTTTCATTTATTTTGAGATACTTGTTTGTTTGTTAAGCCAACCTTTAGCAATGGTCCAGGTGTATGACAGTGATATGTAAATAAGTGTACCAGACAATTCACTGATTGATATTGTGAGCTGCATTCCCCCTATCTGGTGTCACTAATCACCCAAGTAAGCCAGTCCATATATCCACCTCCTACCATCATGTAACAAGGAATCCCAGATGGCTCCAATTAGTGCTAATTTGCATGACAGGTCTTGCTAATTTCATTCCTTTTTAAAGAAATTTGCAACAAACAGAATTTTCATGTTAGTACTCTAATACATTGAGATGTTGCTCAGAACTGGATTTGTTTGTTTGTCGTTTAACGCAGCACTCAGCAATATTCCAGCTATATGACGGCCGTCTGTAAATAATCGAATCTGGACCAGGCAATCCAGTGATTGACATCATGAGCACTGATCCACGCAAAAGGGATCGGTGACATGCATCAACCAAGTCAGCGAGCCTAACCACCCGATCCCGTTACACCCTTCTTACAACAAGCACAATCATCTTCTTAAGGCAGTATGTGTTGCCAAAGACTTGTTCTTCTTGATCTTCACTTAGAACTGGTACTAACGAGTTAGGGGATGGTAGATGTCGTGTTTACAGGCGTCACGGAACGTTATGCACTGCATACAGGAAGTTGACAGACTTGGTAGTGGTAGTGTGATGATGTGGGCTGCCATCTCCTACACGGGTAGGACAGACATGGTGCAAGCTCTGGGGAATGTAACAGCACAACGTTACACGGATGAGATTCTTTGGCTTCATGTCCTTCCCATTATGCAACAAGCGAACTTCATTTTCCAACAAGACAACGCCCGACCTTACCCTGCAAGACCGCCTTTATCAGGAATCACAACATCCACGTCCTGCCATGACCCTCCAGATCTCCAGATTTAAACCCAGTCGAACATTTATGGGATACATTAACGACTGCGAGCAAGTCAGCAACAACAACAGAACCTCCGAAGCACTGCAGAGTGGGTGAACATTCCCCAGGCCACAATTCGATCTTTTCACCAAATGTCTACACTATCTCATTCTTTCCACGACCAATTCATATTGGGTATTAATTTTGTATGAATGGTGGCACAACTCTCAAATTTTTACGATTTTTACTACTTTTGCGTTTCTTTTTTTAGCGCAGTATATAAACATGAAGAAATAAAGGAGCAGAATTGTCTCCCTTACTCCAGCGAATCTTTTGTTGGGCCATCTCATCCGCATGGTCTGCCGTATATTTAGTTCATTTGAAATTAACCCTTGAAGTCATATATAATTATATATGAGTTGAAAGTGGATCAAGATTTGCCGACAACTTTATATGCAATTGAGGGATTAGGGGTAAGAGAATGGCAAATATACACGTAGTCAGTTTACACACAGGCCAACATAGGCGTCTCGAACACACCATACTATTGCATAGATATTTGGTTCAGACTCTATAACATAAACGTTATCTCAACATACCATATTGAAGTTAGTGCCGTTTTGATGCTTTCTTTTTCTATTTTGAATAACACACCTATTGCTGATTAGGTCATTGAACCGGATTGAGCGAAATCGGATGTTTCAAATTTATGATACCAACCGGATGTGTGAGTTTCGTTTAACCCTGCTTTGAACAGGGTTTCATTGATACCATTTCTCTGTCAGCCTGTGTGTGTGTGTGTGTTGGGTGGGGGTGGGGGGTGGAGGGCATAGTTATGCAGGTCATCGGGAAAATGAGTACCACATCCGTCAGGTGAGTGAGAGAGGATTAACGCCGCTTTTAACAGTATTCCAGTTATATCACGGCGTGTCAGCTTAATGTGGGAGGAAAGCCCGAAGTGATGCAGGTCTTAGACGTTTACACGAGCATGGGTGTGGTGCTGGTAAACCTAGAAACAATCGGAGCAAACCGGGATTCGATCTGGCAATCATAGGTTTCTGGCGTACCAAAGGGACGCAACTCTGCACAGCGACTTGCGGCGCTTCAGACGACTGGTCCAGCCGTGTCCCACCAATAGAGTGCTTGCAAACCAAGAATCATAATCAGGGTGATTCAAGTCTTCAGTTAATAATCAGCGGATCCTGCCAGAACTAAGGACAACAATTCTGCAAGTAAATTGTTGCATCTGTGACCAATATTCGACATAAGGTGGGCCTTTAAGCCTTTCAGATTTATGAATTCAACACGGTTTGGCAAAATATCCATGCTGGATTTTGAAATACTAAACGATTCCTATTTTAACACATTCAAAGTCGCTTTGGTTTGCAAAAATATATTTTATTCACAGTCATGACGTCGTAATCTTGAATAGAGTACAAGAAAATACAATACTTTATCATGAAAAATATGAATTTAACCCGTTGAGACGAAGGAACAGAATTGTCTCCCTTAGTCCACCGTCATCTTATAAACTATCGGGACAACAGACGACGGACATATGAAACCTACGGCTTGATATTCAGCCCTCTTAACAAAAATGAAGTTTGACACGCACACGCATAGCAAATACGTCAGATTGTTAAATTACCGAACGACAACATGCCAGCACATCGTGTCAGAAGTTAGTAACGGTCGGCTTAATGATCTTCCCGAGGCAAGAGAGTAAACTGACGTTAAGAGTCCAGTCTCCACCCTTGCCGAACTAGGCTGGAATTCCTGGCCTCGATCGTAGTGCAACCAGTGGCTATTACCAGTTATGTCCCTTCTAAGCCTCTCCTATGGACCAATCAGATTCCACCTGTCGTATCACTGTTTCAAACAAAATGGCGGCGCCCAGTCAAGACGATCTGATCGCTAATCAAGATCATTATTGTGATAAAACGGGTCTTAGCTCGCGAAGTGCATCTAATCACGCGAGCACCTTGATAACAAACATAAAAAGATTTGGAAAATATCTGTTGACAAGGAGTTGGCGATGCACATGTTTTGCAAATCCAGCAATCGACCGAAATCTGCACGACAGTTTACAAACCGGATTTCGATTTCGGTGCGCGATTTTGATTGGACTATGCATAGACCCGTTAGTCCAGCCAAAATGTAACCATAATACCAGCCTAGTTCGGCAAGGGTGGAAATTGGAGTTTTATTGTCAGTAAACTTTCTTGCCTCGGGAAGATGAATGATGGACGAACTCAGTAAGTAACTCAGGTCGAAGGCGATCTCCAGTCAGCATTAGTATGGTGATGACATACAGAGGATCATATGCATTACCAATCTGGGATTCGAACCCAGAATCACAAGGACGCCGGCGCGAGCAGCGAACGTATAACCAGCTTGCAGCCCAACAATTTACTTACTGCAAGATGCTATGACTGACGAGAGCCAGTATAAGCTATAAGTATAAGTTATTGCTTTGATGAGGAATTATCTTTTCACAGTTTTATCACAGATTGATACATATATCACAAGCACATCAATAAAAATGACACACGACAGTTTATCACAAGGGCTGATGCACATATACATTATAGTGAGTGAGTGAGTTGGGTTTAACGCCGCTTTTAACATTATTCAAGTTATATCACGGCGTGTCACCTTAATGTGGGAGGAAAGCCCGAAGTGATGCAGGTCTCAGACATTTACCACTTCGGTGAAACCCACGAGCACGGGTATGGTGCTGACAAACCTAGAAACATAATCGGGGCGAACCAGGATTCGTGCCCCCAATTATAGGTTTCTGGCATGCCCAAGGGACGCAACTCTGCACAACGAATTGAGGCGCCTTAGACGACTGGGCCACAAGTACCACCGGGAAAATGGTTAACAGTTGACATAATATTGGATAACTAATAATGACATCTGTTAAACAATGTGTACGATGCATCACTGTGACATGACAAACCTGGCGCAACGAAGGACTGGGAGCCGTATTCAACCAACCACGTGGTATCTATTCTTTGGTGTTGTTTCACAACAATACAATTTTGTATGGACAAGACATATCTGTAAACTACACTCAGATTTGGATGAGCATTGAAAGAAATTACAGACAATAAGAGACATATGCCGAAGCGAAACTGACTGCTCCTAAATTCACACAAACACTCTCGGAGATCCACACAATCGGGCCAGTGCTTATGATTCTTAGCAGATGACAAACGATTATTTTTTTCTGGACGTAATATAAGAATGGAAGTGTACTGTGTACAGTTCAGAAATGCCTTGAAATGTCCCCCGTCTGCTGATTAGAAAGCCAGACATAACATGCCACATGAAAAGCTTTCTTGTACTAAGCACAGCTTCAATGCTAATCTGCCAATTAATTAGGCTAAACTGTCCCTTAAATTAAGTAATCCCAGAGGTACTTTGTAAAATATACAAACTCAAGTTATGTAGTTGCGTCTGGCAATAACCGTATTCACCGATTTACTAATTTCATGGGACGATCATGATGCAATCTGTCTTGGGTGGATACGACCCGATGAATAACTTATTATCTCCCTTTTCTGATGACGTCATTTCGAAGTTTTAATCCAGTCTGGAATTTGCGTTGACGATCCATAATACCAAATTCCGCTCTACGTTTTCTTTTTTAGGACTGGTTTCCTAACTCCTAAAGACCCTGTATGGAGACTACCCGATTGATTATTTCCCCTTAATGACGTCACTACATGATGAGGTGGAAGCAGTCAGGTCCTATTTCCTTGTTCTTATCGTGCATCTCTTGAACTGTGTCCGCGACTTCGGGTCTCCCCATGTCCCGAAGAGCTTCGGTCAACTCCGCCACAGCGCCGTTGCGTTTGTCTTTCAGGCGTCGCTTCCAGTACAGTAAAATTTTGTATGTGACGTCGGCCATGCCAAGGCCGTTACTGATGGCGTCGAATCCAAGACCAGTGATGGTGCTGTCTGGAAGGTCAAGGTGAACGGCCAGAGTAAGTCCTTCGGGTACAACACGTGCGATGTTCATCAAGCTTCTTCCGGTCAGGACACGTGACTCCTTTTCGGCTGTAAACATAGGAAATGTACAGCCTTGCATAAAATAAATTCTTTCTTATTGTTTCCATTGAAATCAATGTGATGTATCGATTGGATGGTGCGATATGATCAATATTTCTGCTACATCACGAAGGCCTTTAAATAAACGTGTGAACCGGTGGATGATGGCATGAGTACCTATCAACACCATCGGCAGTGGGGCCACCCAAGCTACATTAGTGAGTGTGTGAGTGAGTGAGTGAGTTTGGTTTTACGCCCCTTTTAGCAATATCCCAGCAATATCACGGCGGGGGACACCAGAAACGGGCTTCACACATTGTACCCATGTCGGGAATCGAACCCGGGTCTTCGGCGTGACGAGCGAACGCTTTAACCACTAGGCTACCCGACCGCCCCCTAGCCACATTAGTTGGCGATCGAGTGCCCTTGTTAGATAAAATATGATTCAACCCGTGAAGATCCGGGGTGAATAGGTCTTAAAAGGCGACTATGCTTGTCGTAAGAGGCGATTAACGGGATCGGGTGGTCAGGCTCGCTGACTCGGTTGATTGCATGTCATAGTGTCCCAGTTGCGTAGATCGATGCTCATGATGTCAATCACTGGTTCGTCTTGTCAGGACTCGATTATTTACAGATCGCCGTCATATAGCTGGAATATTGCTGAGTGCGGCTTTAAACAACAAAAGAAACAAACAAACGAACAGTATTTCAGTTATATCACGGTGTGTCAGCTTGATGTGGGAAGACAGCCTAAAGCGGTACAGGTCTTGGGCGATTAGGGGCGGTCGGGTAGCCTAGTGGTTAAAGCGTTCGCTCGTCACGCCGAAGACCCGGGTTCGATTCCCGACATGGGTACAATGTGTGAAGCCCATTTGTGGTGTCCCCCGCCGTGATATTGCTGGAATATTGCTAAAAGCGGCGTAAAACCATACTCACTCACTCACTCACTCTTGGGCGATTATCACTTTGGTGAAACCCATTAGCAAACCCACACGACTGCAGCGTTAGACAAACAAACAACAAGCAAACAACATAAGTCGGCTCTTACGACAAGAGTGGCCTACGAAAGATCTATTCTGACCCGGATTCAAGGCGGGTTCATCTTAAGGTATGCCAAAATACTTAGTCACAATACAGAACACACAGTTACAATCAATAGTTCTGGTCACCCTAATATATCTCTGCTATCCCACCACTCATTCATCATTAGTCCTGGGAGTAAGTCACACTTCATATCCTGCTCACGAACAAAGAACGATAACTCACGGATCTTGTTGGGTCGTATTGGTCGCGTCAACCTCTCGAGAGCACTGGCTGAGAAGGTTCGCACTTTCACTGGAGGTGGGGGTCGCTCTTCCTTGATTGGTTCCAACGGAAGGTCAAAGGTAACAGTTGGTTTCTCTGGCTCAGGTTCCGGTTCCGGTTCATCTGGTTTGAAATAGGCCTTGACCTTTTCCTCATCCAGTTCAAACTTGAATGTGAAGGACAAACGTTCCCGAGCCTTCTGCTCCTCGATACCAACAGGGACCAAGTTTATAACACCTTGCAAAGCCCGCTCCTCGTTAGTTCGTGGTTCTATTACAAACCTTCTATAACTCTCGGGTAGGTTCCTAAAGAATTGCAGTTGATTATTATCAAAATAGTCACTCTCTCCGCTCACTCGCACATCCCCCGTGACTTCAACCTCCCACTTACAGCCATCGTAGATCTCAAATCCTTCTGGCTCCTTTGCCTGGGGCTGCTGAGGCGGCGGGGGTCGCCTTCTGGAGGTAAACCTCTGTTCTGGTTCTTTGGGGAGTTCCTGTTTCGCTATATGCCGGAATCCGACCGACGACCGGGCGCTGGCTCTCACTTCCGTTTTGAATTCTGGGAAACATTCTATGACACCCATCCATGACTTATCTTTGAGAGATAAGAACACGGTTACTTCCCCTTTTTCTTTATTACTGCGTCCATCCAAAATTGGGATGGCGTCCTTCATTTTCTGCTTCCGGTCTGGTTTAGACTGACACACACAGAATCTGAAAATGAAATAGAAGAAAATGTTGCGTTACGCATCGACAGGGTTAGAAATTGGCACTAGTCCTGTAGTCCTTGCCAAACTGCCCAATAGTAAAGGTATCCTAAGGACTGGTAGAAATTTGCCATTTTTAAAGGTTTTGCTATATGTTATCCTTATAAGGACTAGTAGGCTGATACTGTTAGTTTCTACCGCTGAATATATATTCGACAATTATCGTCAACGTTTCCTTTTGACATTTCCCTCCTGACATATTTTAAACACAGAATTTATTATAAAATCAGTATGTAGGAGTTCATAATTTATCTATTACCAATGTTATTTCATTAAATAAAATGTATATAATCTGTTGTATTTTCATGACGTCAAATAAATTCGTCTGGTACACCACATCACGCCCTCTTTGGGAATTCTTATAAACTATTATATTCTGAAACAAATATCATGTGTAAGCCGTATTGAAGATCGGTAGTTATTGAGGGGGCCGACATCGTCCTTTCCTGCGCCAATTTTTGTTTTCGATCAGGAATCCTTATCCAAAGATAATTTTCGGTGAAAACGGCATACGTATTTGAGATAAGTGTTTAAGGGTGGGGTCGAAATAATGTTTTGTATTTGAAGTTAATCGGAGATGAAGAAGAGAAAATCTGAAAATCCGATATTATTGGCAGATTTTTCTAACGGTTGATAGAAGGAAAAGCTTGTGTATAACACAAGGGACGAGGGGACATGGTAAGCTCAACGAGTAAAGCTCACTCTTTGTTTCCCGTCATGACATGGTTGGAATATTGCACAAAACAGCGTAAAACCCAACTCACTCACTCACTCAGTACAGCCTCCATAGATTCCCTCACTCACCTTGACAGTGTTTTGACATCACAGGAGACGGTTGTTCGGGAGAACTTGTAGTTGCTGTCCACAACGCTCCAGCCATTGTCCGTCTTTACCACCACGGCGATGTCGGTACCGTTGTCATTCTCGACCTCAACACCGGCCGGAAGCGGAAGTTTGACTGTGACTGGCCGCCGGAAGTTGCACGGGAGTGTGGTCGTGATGTCCACGAACTCAGTGGCTGTCAACAGCTCACCACAGTCCACGGGGAAGTTTTTTTTCGAAAATGCTAATTTGTCAGATGGTATCGGCGTTATCTGAATGATGGAAAAAGGAACATGAAATAACTAGGCAAATGAAAATCAGCGTTTGGTATGGCCGACAAATTAAGGTGGTCCGGACAATAATTATGGGGCAACGGGGGTCCAGTCATCGTCGTCGTCGGTGCCGGAATTCTCTTGGCAAAGAAACTACCATGACGAGTGCCAGAAACCTGTGATCTGGGTTCTGATCCTGGTTCATATATTTTAGCAAAATGTCCGAGCACGTGGGTTTCACCGAAGTGGTAATCGTCTAGGACCTGTATCATTTCGTGAAATACCTGACATACTGGCGTTTTTCCATACCCTCTAACCCACAGGCAGTTTAGGTTTGGATTGTTTGATTTTTAACGCCGAACTCAGCAATATTCCAGCTATATGACGGCGGTCTGTAAATAATCGAGTCTGGACCAGACAATCCAGTGATTGACATCATGAGCATCGATCCACGCAATTGGGATCGGTGACATGCATCAACCAAGTCAGCGAGCCTGACCACCCGATTCCGTTAGTCGCCTCTTACGACAAGCATAGTCGCCTTTTACCCCGGATTTTTACGGCTCACTTTGAGGTAGTGATCGTACGACAGGGTTAAATGCTTGCCAAAAATACACTCATTTAAGGATATTCATTGAGTAAGATGTACGTCATTTTCTACAGAACAAGGCCTCTTATTGAGAAAGTATTGTCATGACATACATATAACACACTCACAGGGTTCGTATAACGACGTATTTGGGGGTTGAATTTCAAGTCAAGATGATCTTTTTAATGAGAAAACCCATTCAATTACAGATTGGGATCTTGAACCATCTATTATTCTGTAGTTGGATACAAACTCCAATTTCTAATTTGGGACATTTTTTGCAGACAATCCGTGTCTTCTCATCCAAATCCTCCCTTCCCATATTTGAACTGTACCCTCGTATGTCAAAGTGGAGTTACCCGCCCTTGATGCATACAGCAGCCCTTGCCCCTTACCACAACGCGAACTTAGATACACCACTCCCAACCCAGTCACCGAGACAACCCGATCTTATACACAGTGGACAAGCGTGGGTTGCTGGGAACCTTTTATATCCCTGAATGCCCACGGGGAAACGTTAACATACTAGGCTCACGGCAGTCGTAGCGCTAAGGTCGCTTTGTGGGTCGACCACTAGGGCCTAGGTTAGTTGTTTAACACAAGTCTCCCATATAGGGAACCATTCTTCCCCGGATTTCGCATAGTGCAGATGCCAGTATGTCCTACCTGTATGGAACAATGCATGCTGGTGTCGATGGACTTCTTGGGGAACCTGACACTGATGTGTCTGTTGAGCCTGGCGTTGTACAGGCAGCCCTGGGGGGACACCGGGAACATCTCTCTCTTGGGGGTGAAGGTGACGACAAACACCCCCAGACGGGCGATCTCAAGCTCGACAGACGGCATGCTGCTGTCCTCCTTGAAAGGAACACAATGTCGTTTATATACAGTACATGTAATTAACACATAGGGGCACGGGTGGCCCAGTCGTCTAAGGCGACGCGATTCGCTGTGCAGAGTTGCGTCCCTTGGGCACGCCAGAAACCTATGATTGTGGGTTCGAATCCCGGTTCGCCCCGATTATGTTTCTAGGTTTGACAGAACCATACCCGTGCTCATGGGTTTCACCGAAGTGGTAAACGTCTGAGACCTGCATCACTTCGGGCTTTGCTCCCACATTAAGCTGACACGTCGTGATATAACTGTTAAAAGTGGCGTTAAACCCAATTCACTCACTCACTAATAACACATTATACATTGCACTTAGGGGCGCACTTGTAGTATTCATGATTTTCTTCATACCAAATTATCTTTTTACAGCATTACTCGAACAAATTATTTTATTCGAAATCCCAGTATTATAGGCCACTATGATTACCAATTGTTGGAACATTTGACAACATTTCAGACATCAGAACTGCCAATATTAAAAGCAATAAGAACCAAAGACATTCTTGAATGTTTTCTTATTCGTTTGATAATCGATCAAACGAACACTTCTGATACCTCCGTAGCATTTCTTTCATTTAAACAAATTTGTTTATTCAAAATTCTAGAATAACTTGACTACTATAATTACCAATTATGGGAACATTTGAACAAATTTCAAAGAACAGAACTGCCAATACCAATAACAAGAACCAAAGACATAATCCTTATTCTTGGATGTTTTCTTATTCGTTTGATAAACGACCAAACGGACACTTCTGGTACCTCCGTAGCATTTCTTTCAAAGTAACAAATTATTTTATTCAAAATCCTCGTATAACTGGACCACTTTGATTACCAATTGTTGGAACATTTAAAGACAATTCAAAGATCAGAACTGGCAGTATAAATACCAACAAGAGCCAAAGACATACATACCCCTTATTATTGCATGTTCTCTTATTCGTATAATATTGTAAAACGAGTGAATGAGTATTATTTTACGCCGCTTTTAGCAATATGCAAGCAATATCATGGCGGAGGACACCAGAAATGGGCTTCACACATTGTACCCATGTCGGGAATTGAACCCGGGTCTTCGGTGTGACGAGAGAACGCTTTAACCACTAGGCAACCCGATAGCCCCTAATATAGTAAAATATTTTTTTTACAAACGATCAAACGAACACTCCTGGTATGTCCGTAGCATTTCTTTCATCTAACAAATAACCAAATGAATATTTTGCAGTTGTAGGATACGAAAACGACGTAAAGTGCTGTTTAGAGGTTACCGTAGCAATCGAACGTTGATTGCAAGCGCTGCTTAATCCCAAAATCGAGGCATTATCATCAAGCTTGTTTTAGCGTCACTGGGTTTGTGAACACACTAGGTAGCTATCACAATGGTGACAAGTTCAAAAGAAGGTTCCAGAGTGTGGCATTTAAGTCATTGCTACTACAGACATTCCAGCCTTTGCGTATCGCTTGATGGGTTCATTTTAAAATGCCAATGTGAGCGCTGTTCCTATACCATCAAGTGTATTTACCTTCTTGAGGAAACCAACGTCTACCCATTCCGCCTCGTCCTTCCATCTGCCCTTGACATTGAGCTCGTTATGCTCAAGGTCAACGTAGTAATATGGCAGTTGAACAATCACTGCCTTCTTCAGGGGGTGTACGGAAGATGACAAGATGAATATCTCGCTCGCCATATGCTCACTAGGCGGCAGCACTGGTACATGGCGCCATCTACCGGAGGGTGGCGCCACCTGGCATGTGATACTGTCTTTTTTACTGAACACTCCATCTGGTATCGAAATCTTTGCGCCAAGCGGAAGTGCAAAGTTGCCTCCTTTTTTTCCTGGTCCGTAGGTTGTTTTTAGGCTGTGAACAAAATAAATGTAATGTTAAAATCTATACGTTCATCTTGGGTCGTTACAATAAGATTCGTTACCTTTCTTAAAGAGGTTCCACGGTCAATTTACAGTCAAAGGAAATTCGATTCTCGTCGCATCTAACCCTGACCCTGACCTTCACCTCTTACCTTAAATCTGACCCAGACCCCTACCTCTGAGCCTGGTCTCTAACCCTTACTCTGACCCTGACCCCTTAAATAATTCTGACCCCTAACTCTGACCCTGGTCACTAACCCTTGCTCTGAAAAGTTTAGTTGTGTGACAGTTTAGTTTGCCGAAATACGTAGATTGATACTGCATGTTATTCTTTTGTGTTGAAACAAAATACAGTTTAATCAACATAGAGACGTCCATTGCACAGATGAATACTTTTACGGACATATAACATTTGACATACAAGAAAGAAGCTGTAAACTCACTTTGCTTCTTCCGTCATATCCGGGTGTTCCGTTGCCACGGAAACATTCCACGTGTTCTCCTTCCTCATGATGACGTCACAAGTAGGTGACCTTGACCTGAAATAGACGTCACTGATTAGAACAATATTATAACGATGAGAACCCCAAGCGAAAGTATAGGCTTTTGGGGGGGAATTTTGTGAGTGACGTTGCCACCCAACATAGTCTAGCGACGGGTTATTTCGGAATAGATCCAAAATCTAACTAAACAGGGCGCTATGTATGTAGTAATATTAAGTCTCGCCATGGGGACTCCGGAGAGCGGAAAGTCCGGGGTTCGATCTCCGACCGAGTCATACCAAAAGACGTTAAAAGATGGTACTTGTTGTTACCCTGTCTGGTGCTCGGCATTAAGAAGCTAAAACAAGGACTGGTCGGCTCGGAGTCAGTATACTGTGTCTGAGTGGGGTATTCATGTTAAACTGCGGCATGGTATCTCAGTCAGCTAGCACTATAAATCGGCATCAGTCCGGACTAGTACAAGCAGCCACACAAACACACTCACATACATGCACGTCGCTATATAAGTGCAATAATCCTGGACGCGACGTAAAACCCCATTTGACCTCACCTCACACCTTTGGTATGATACAAGTATCAATCCGTTAATGTTGCCCTAACCAAGTGTTCTTGGTTCTAACCAAGTGTGTCACAACTTCACACAAGGCCCTCGCTACAAGGGACTCTTGGTTTGAGAACAGCATTTTATAAAACAGAATAGCATACCCCCTCCCTCCAGAAGAAATGGTTGATCTCTTTTCCCGTATACAATTAATGACCAATCACATCTTCTAAACCCTTTTCTCAAAATATCACACTCGCTCATCTAACACATGCTGAAAAATGAAGTTCAAACCTGAAAGGTTTTGGCACAGACCGGACAAACAAAACTACATTACCAGCTCCTGTATATATGGGACATTATCAACATACACAGATGTCCCCTGCTACCCTACACGACCTGGGGGCACGGGTAGCCCAGTCGTCTAAGGCGCCGCGATTCGCTGTGCAGAGTTGCGTCCCTTGGGCACGCCAGAAACCTATGATTGTGGGTTCGAATCCCGATTCGCCCCGATTATGTTTCTAGGTTTGTCAGCATCATACCCGTACTTGTGGGTTTCACCGAAGTGGTAAACGTCTGAGACCTGCATCACTTCGGGCTTTCCTCCCACATTAAGCTGACACGCCGTAATATAACTGGAATACTGTTAAAAGTGGCGTTAAACCCTATTCTCTCTCTCTCTCTCTGCACGACCTACCAGTGATCCCGAGTCTTGCGTGGACAATGTACAACAGATACCAAAATGCGATTTATATACAACTTGAACTCTCCTCTGACCAATGCAACAACTATTTCAAATTCGAAGCCAATCAATTTCACGTAAACAAGTCAAGTTGAGATTTTCAATCGTGTTTGAAGATACGCTTCACTCACTCCTTTGTATCGGCCATTGAAGACCCTCTTGGGCTCCGTACAGTGTTACGACTCTCTTTCACGGCGGCTGTCACAAGGTCTTAACGCCTTTGTTAAAAGTCTGAGAAGTCGCCGTAATCGAATCACACCTGGAACACTCCTTGCTTTACTCGACAATGGTCTATTCTAGCGTAGGTGTGAGTTGGGGTTTCCCTTCAACGCGTGTGAGTCGGAATATAACATTTGACGCATGTATAAGTTCTAGAAACTCTTAACGGTGTATGATTAACGCTTGACTTATGTACACGTACGTTAGTTTGTTTGTTTGTTGTGTAACGCCGCTCTCAGCAATATTCCAGCTGTGTGACGGCGGTCTGTAGATAATCGAGTCTGGACCAGACAATCCAGTGATTTATATCATGAGCATCGATCCACGCAATTGGGACCGATGACATGCATCAACCAAGTCAGCGAGCCTGACCACCCGATCCCGTTAGTCGCCTTTTACGACAAGCATAGTCACCTTTTACGGCAAGCATGGGTTTCTGAAGATCTATTCTACCCCGGATCTTCTTGGGTCGATTCCCAAAATGGCGCTGCTTATGATCTTTAGTCAGTATAAGTAAGTGCCACACCCGTGCACTTCGGTTTTACCAAAGTGGAACCCTGTTGAGATTCTGGGTAGGAATTAGTACCCAGGGACGTACATGTTTGTCTTTAGAGGCGACTAAATGGATCGGGGCTCAGACTGCGCGATTGCGTGTCGTCATATCCCGACGCCGACGCCGAGGATCGTTAATGTGTAATTCTTCCGTCACAGCAGCGACTCAGTGACCATAAGGATTGTTGTTTGGAAGCATAGTCAGCAGCATCGCGTGACCTGTACATGGCTGGTTCTCGACGACACAAACCAGTGGTTGACAGCACGAGTGAGAATTCGCGAATACCGTGACGTCACATATTTTATAACCACCCCAATCACATATCTATAACCATCCTACCCTCATTCAGCACCCAAAGACACGCGGTGTAAGGGGCTTTGGATCTCTTCTGCATCTGTTATTAAGTTTATTTTAGTATAAAGGCCACAGGCCCAAGTACTATATAGATACGACCCATATAGCTTGAATATTGCTGAGTGCGGCGTTAAACAACCAACCACACAACAAACAACGTAAAGATCCCGGGGCAGAATAGGTCTTTAGCAACCCATGCTTGCCGTACAAGGCGACTATGCTTGTCGTAGGAGGCGACTAACGGGATCGGGTGGTCAGGCTCGCTGACCTGGTCGTGCATGTCATCGATTCCCAGTTGCGTAGATCGATGGTCATGATATCAATCACTGGATTGTCTGGTCCAGACTATAGCTGGAATATTGCTGAGTGCGACGTTAAACGACAAACAAACAAACAATATAGAAACATGTATTAAATACTTCTGCATCGGATTCACAACAAGGGACTTGTAGCTCATTGTTACTCGCTGTCTATAGATGGTTGATTTCAAATACGTTGAGGGACCTAACGAAAGGCATACATGCAGGATTAAAGCAATGTTCAATACAAGGTACGAGAAACGTCCTGCGAATAACTGCATATTCGCATACAGTACACATAAACGTCGCTCTTGTAGTTGATGATTTTGATGTAGTTCTTCAACAATGATGAACTGACCCAAGGCTTTTCCATTGTAAATATTTACTCTATCATGAAATTAAACTTATTGACATATATTTTACAGCTGGTATTACAAACGAATAAAAATTCTTTTCATACATAACTTGCCAAGAAGTACACTTTAGCTATTTCTATGCAAACAACGACCCATCCATATTTGATTTATATGAGATATTACGTTTAACGGGATAATGCAAAACACGTCCCATAATATTCACATAACTTTACAAATATACACTTTCAACAGAAACATCTTCGTTATCCTTTCGGGTTATCAGGGTGGTCTATATTTATGAGAAACAGTTTGCATTTATTTGACATTAGAGAGTACATTAAAATAAATTCATTTCTGAAATCTCCACGGGCGTATTCAAATGTTTATTGCGTGAAAGTCTATTGGCTCAAATACATATTGAATCGGGTAGATATAACTGGAATGCTGTTAAATGCGGCGTTAAACCCAACTCACTCACTCATGCACGTGCATCACTGAGGGACGACTAACACAATTAAGCCCGTGTGTTTGTGTATCTGTTAAAACCGTTGGCACAAAATTGTGTGAACAATTAGACGCTTACGTCCTACGAATATTATTTATTGTTAAAATAGATTTAATCACAGGTGACTTAACTCACCAAGAACGTATGTTGTTTGGTTGGTTGGTTTGTTGTTTAACGCCGCACTCAGCAATATTCCAGCTATATGACGGCGGTCTGTAAATAATCGAGTCTGGACCAGACAATCCAGTGATTAATATCATGAGCATCGATCCACGCAATTGGGATCGATGACATGAATCAACCAAGTCAGCGAGCCTGACCACCCGATCCCGTTAGTCGCCTTTTACGGCAAGCATAGTCACCTTTTACGGCAAGCATGGGTTGCTGAAGACCTATTCTACCCCGGATCTTCACGGGAGGTGACAAGCATGGGTTGCTGAAGACCTATGCTACCCCGGATCTTCACGGGAGGAGACAAGCATGGGTTGCTGAAGACCTATTCTACCCCGGATCTTCACGGGAGAAGACAAGCATGGGTTGCTGAAGACCTATTCTACCCCTGAATCTTCACGGGTCAGAACGTTTGTAGTATTAGAATAAGGGTAATGATTTATTTAAGTAATAACGCCAAATTGTTAACACTAGTCTCAGAATGGCCCCCAACCGAACAATGGTCTCATCGACCATTAAGTGCAATGCCCTGTTCAACACGACACTCATATTTACCAATGAACGTTTTAAAAATTAGTATTCAGTACACACTTGAATTTCGAGCACGAATTCTTGGCTTCAACTGTGTGCGTAAGGCGCTGACAAGCCAATGGCGGATTCAAGTTTCAAGAGGCCGTATTTTATAATGTCATTCAACTAATGTTTAAACATGGAGTCGTGATTCGTTGCTGGAAGGGTTGGTTTGAGGGAGCGTTAAGTGTGTATGGAGATATATGCAATCATGGTTAAACTTTGTTTGTTTATGGAAAACACATAGAGGCTGTGGCAGTAGATAACGCGATTTGAACCAGTCGCGAGAGGTGAGGTGAGGTGAAATTGGGTTTAACGTCGCGTCCAAGATTATTGCACTTATAGAGCGACGTGCATGCATGTGTGTCACATAGGGTTGTCCTCCCACAGTAGTGAGTGAGTTGGGTTTAACGCCGCTTTCAACAGTATTCCAGTTATATCGCGGCGTGTCAGCTTAATGTGGGAGGAAAGCCCGAAGTGATGCAGGTCTCAGACGTTCACCACTTCGGTGAAACCCACGAGCACGGGTATGGTGCTGACAAGCCTAGAAACATAATCGGGGCGAACCGGGATTCGAACCCACAATCATAGGTTTCAGGCGTGCCCAAGGGACGCATCTCTGCACAGCGAATCGCGGCGCCTCAGACGACTGAGCCACCCGTTCCCCCCTCCCACATCAAGCTGACAGCCGAGGCGGGCACTACATGTCTGCAATATTGCCGATTT